AGAGACAGAGAAATTAAGAAGTTGGATAGGTAGGGAGATGGAGAGGAGCTGAGAGGAGTTGGGGAGGGAAAATATGATAAAAATATATTATATTAAAACTTTAATAATAAAAATATTAAAATTAAACTAATTTTAAAAGACATGAAGTTAGAGGGTTCTGTGGGGAAATGGAGCAAAGGAGGATGGGTGTAGACATGTTCAACATATGTTGTATATGTGTGTGAACTTTTAAAAATAATGATATTTTTAAAAGCAGCAATGTACTAGAACAAAGGAATAGAGTCCTCATTTCAGAGCATCTGAAATGGAGCAACTACTGGGTAGGAAGAAATTGCAGAAGGGGGAGTCCAAAGAAATTGCTTAGGTGTCCACTTGAGATCTATATCAAGCCTAACCTGAAAATTCATAGCAAAGATGCAATAATGCTCAGCAGAGAGTGTCACTAGGAGAAAAGATTCTGGAACAAATTCAATGGACACTGAATCTCTTGCAACAATGAAAAACATTGGGATTTAAGTCTTTGTTAAAGTGCAGATATCTCTTTGAATGTCTCAGATTATCTGGATGGTAGTGCTATGTACAGTAAGATCTAATGTTAAAAATGTAAAACTAACAACAAAAGCATACATGTTAGGTGATGCAAACAGACTTTGAAGAAAAGCTTTTGTAGAAGCATGTTGCCAGCAACTGCAATATGTTCATGGAGCACTTTGCTATTGTGTGTCTGCAATGCATAAATTGATGCAGGATCTATGGAGAAGCATGGCCTTCACCAGAAACACTACATTTCCTATAAATTTTTATGTTTATAGTCTCTAATTGAAGCTTTTGTTTCAACAAAATGGCTCAAAAATCACAATGTTCAAATGGGCTCACTCTGCTACGTGTTCTCAGTGTACAATTCTCCTTCCTTCTCCAAGGACCTAAGACAAACTGAAAATTCATACTCCTACACAACATCATTCCTCAGTCCTTTAAGTGTTTCATGTCTAGAAAATAGCATTGTATTTTGTTTTCTTTATACTTTAATCAAGCAGCTTAGTACACTTGAATACAAATATTCATAGCAAATAGCTAGGATGGGATTTGTATTTTGGCATTTTATTTCTATCTCTCCATTATATTTCAAATAAATTTGAAATAAATTCAAATAAATTTGAAATGTAATATGACCTTAAGTATCAGCACTTAAGTGTATTCCCTATCTAATCTATTGGTAATTGTTTTCTCACTAAAGCAATTTCATCAGAGAAGTTTGTTAAATCACTCTGGGAAAGGGGCCATTATGTATTGGGTCAGTTATAAAAACACCCTCAAGTTACCTACCATCTTACTTATAAACATTTTTCCTAAAGAACTGAAGGAAATATAAGCTGTGCCTTGAGTCACTTAGTCATTAGCTATAGTGATTCTTGAAAACATGAAATTTCTGTCAAGAGTCAAGGGGTTAGCTAGACTGAGAAAAATAGATAACATTGAAGTTCCTTTCCATTTCTCAAGTGATGATCTTTAAAGAAATATAAAGTTGCATATTTAGGGTTTGAGACAACATAATTCCAGAATTAATAATTTTATTTCTTTAAATATATACATATATAGTATACTTTGGGACATTTATTCAGTTACATTTTTCATAGGTAAACTCCAATTTATAGTCATTATATAAATCAAAAGTAAGATTTATTATGATTGAACATGTTTCCCACAATTTCTGAAAGTTCATCTAAATGAAGCCCTCCTGAGCTTAAGTTTTCAGAATTCTAGGAGTTTATCAGGAACTGACTTTAGATTTTTGCAAACCTCGACTCTTAAAATTTGTCCACTTTCACATGTCAATGTATCAATACTCCCGAGACACGACAGATTCTCTTTTAATAAAGCTGTCAAGGACAAAACTGACTTTTGAATAGTAGGAATTATGATTTTTCCCATGGATCAGTTATGGTTTTGATGTATGGAGAGATCCACACTCTATCCCTGTTGATGTGTTTGAATAATTAGTTGACTGATGATCTAGCGAAAATGGCACTCTGGTGCATTGTTGGGATGTCCTCAGTCAGAGATCCTTCACCTAGAATTGAGGAACTGTCCAATGAAATTTCAATGTTTCTTGGGATGGAGCATCTTTAGAATGCGAACCCGAATCTCTTTGGTTTTGACACTGTAGACAATTGGGTTGAGCATTGGAGGCATAAGAAAGTGAAGATAAGAGAGAAGCATATATACCTGAGCTGGTAGCTTCTTTTTCCCAAAGCGATGGATCATGGATAGACTCACCAGTGGAGTATAAAATAGAAGAACAGCACAGATGTGGGAAATGCAGGTGTTGAAGGCTTTCAAGCGTTCAGCATTAGAAGCAATACTCAAGACTGTCTTCAAAATCAGCACATAGGAAAGGAGAATCAGCACAGCATCCATCCCCAGTGTAGAGAGCATGACAAAGAGCCCGAAGCCACTGTTGATGACCGTACTGGAAGAGGACAACCTTAGAACATCAGGATGAACACAGTAAGAATGAGACAGAGCACTGACAGGCTGGAATGTCAGCCTTCCCAGGAGCACAGGCAGAGGCAGATGAAGGGCAGCACTGCGGATCACCACGGCCAGTCCAATGGCTCCAATACGTCTTGTTGTGAGGATGGTAGCATAGCGCAAAGGCTCTCTGATGGCCACACAGCGGTCAAAAGCCATGGCCAAGAGAACTGCTGACTCAATGACTGAAAATGTGTGGATGAAGAAGAGTTGCATAAAACAGGCTGCAGCTCCTATTATTCTCTGGCCCAGGAGAAAAACAGCTACCATTGAAGGCAGTGTGGAGGCTGAGAGGCCCAGATCAGCCATTGACAGCATGGAAAGAAAAAGGTACATAGGTGTGTGGAGGCTGGGCACAGACTTGACAATGTGCATTATGGTTATGTTTCCCAGCACAGAAAGAATGTAAATGAAGCAGATGGGAATTGCTGTCCAACAGTGAGAAGCCTCCAGTCCAGGAAGATCCATCAATATGAAAAAGAAGCTGCTGGCATTACTATGCTTAGAAATAGTCATAACTCTGGAAAAAAGGTTGCCCTGGAAAATTGTAATGGAAACAAAAAACCTGTTTACTCTTAGCACTCTCCTTGAATATTATCTTCAGTGGCATTGCTGCTCTGGCTGCAGAGTAGCAGAACTCATATTGCTGAATCTCATTCTTTCAGTGGTTTCTACTCTGAAACAATGCAGACTCAAGTCTCAAAGATTGCTTTATTTTAAACAGCATATTTGGATCATCAACATGAAGAAACCTCTCTTTTGACCTTGAAAGCTCTTCAACATTTGAAATTTAAGGACTACCTTGTGTTTAAAACATAGGGCCCAAACACAGGAGATATATTATTTCTAATAAAAGAATATAGGCTTCTTTCTAATGGAAGCAAGGTATGGACAATTGTGCTGAATGAGTGTATGGGAATTAGAGTATAAATTATAAGTAATTAATACTAAATTATATTATCAGGTACAACTTTTGTGCTGAACTGGTCCCAAGGCATTACAAATAAATACAATGTCAAAAATATATCTAAAAAGGCTTGACTTCATGTGCTCATTAGTTTGATTTTAATACTTTCTTTGTTATTATGCATGATATTCACTGAAGTTGGGGTTAACTGGTGTGAATATATGAAACATAGATATAAAACATAGATAATATTCATATTTGGAAAAGTGTATTTTGGTGGAATCAAAAATCAAAGGTTCTTCTTTATAGTGAATATTGGTTATAACAGCAGGTAATATATAGCTTCAACCATTTGAAGGTCTAATGACTTACTGGTCAATACAGAATATGTATAAACTAGACCAAGAGAGAACTGACTTTTGACAAATTAAATGCATCAAGCATTAATCTTCACCCGTTTCTCCATGCTCACCTGATTCCAAGTGCTGTCAAGAACCGTCATCAAAGAGAAGAGTAAACTAGAAACCGAGGACGTGGAATTCAAGGGAAATTTTAATCAAATATCAAAATCATGTATTAAATGGTATTTTCTCTTCTGAACATCTTAAGTAATTTATCTTAAAGATAGAGACTTCCAAACTTTCTTGAGAAGTATGTTATGCCAGCATCCTTGAATAATAGGGCAATTGTGATATTCTAATTCTTGTCTATCAGTAGATCCTAGTGGTGTACCATATTGCAAGAAAAGGCTCTATACTCAGCAATCCACATGTTAACAGTTGACCTCAGGGAATCCTAGAGTAACATGTCTATGAAGGTTAAATATGGATGTCTCCATTTAGAGAGGCATGTAAAATGAACACTAAACACATTTGATAACATATAGGACAAATGATATAAGAAGCAAATAGAAGCTGTGGCTGACCCATCCTACTGGGAAAAGAGCATTAAGAAAAGAGGAAGACTAGTTTGTGTGACTAGACTCTGGAGAGGCTGAGGGGAGTTAGCGCCTAAGAATTACCTAAGGTGCACTGAGAAAACTCTGAATATTGATTGTAGAAGAAGAGATGGGAACAAAGAGGATATTTTTCTCGATCTGTCTCTGACAAAATTTATCTGTAGCATGTTAACAACAGAGTGCTTCCAAGAACATAGAAAATCATATCCTCTTCCCTTCGAAATTGTTTGTCAAGATACTGAAATTTTCATAAACATGAAAAACTTGCCATTACACCAATTAAAATTGAAACTTTAAAATTTAGCAGCCATGAGTAGATTTTAACATCTAACTTAACTTACTTGGCTAATATTTTCCTGAATTATAATCACAGAGGAAAACATGACTTGTTAGAAATCAAACTTTCATGAAACAGCTGTACATATATGTGTCAAAGTGGCAAACAACCAAAAGATGAGCTCCTGGGTATACAGGGAGGTTGTGGTTCTGTCTCACCTTCTAACATATAATAGTAAAGAGAACTCAATGCTCTCAAACCCAGAAGCTTATTGCAGAGTATAGATTCAACCCATATTCATGAGTCAACCCAGGGACAGATACTGAGCTGCATGAGGAACTGATCATATTGCAAATCCATGCTTCCATCTATCCACAGGGAAGAAGCTTCCCAAAGTATTATACAAGAATGGACAGACAAACACAGAGGAACAAAGTGTCAGTCAATCACCTATGATAGAAAAGCAGGAAAAGAACAATGGAGAAGAACTGCAATCAGAATGGCTAATGGGGAATTTCTTCAACATCAGACCATGCCCATTACATCCAGATATTGCTCAATTCTAGAGGGTGATAGGGGCTTATGTAAGGCCACCCTTGGACAGAGTACAGTTAAGATAATAGGACTGACTTGTATGGATTTTATAAGCTAGGTTTTAAGAGACAAATGTTCTTAGGAGGCCTAGCCAAGATGCTGAGCATATGAAGACTCAGTAGATAGCTCCTAGGTTGGAAGTCTGCATTTGCCTGTCTATTCAGTCTCTCTCTCTCTCTCTCTCTCTCTCTCTCTCTCTCTCTCTCTCTCTCTCTCTCTCTCTCGTGTGTGTGTGAGAAGATAAGGAAATTATTCCTCTTACATGAACTTTTAACAAGATATTTTCAATCACAAACTGAGCAATGAAAGGCTATAGTCTTTGACACATGCCAAAAACCAAAGAAAAAAAGTATATGTTTTACCTTTTAAAATCAATAATACAACATTAGATCAATTGACTTTGTAATGTACTTTAACACAAAAGTAAAACTAAATTTTAGAAGGCCATTAATTAATTAATTAATTAAATTGTGACATTTAAGTAAAGAATTCTACCTTCCTGTAAAGGCTTTTGTTCATGTTAGAAAAATGTTCTGAGCCAATTATTAAGATTTTAGTGTCCTGATATTAATTGTGAGAAGTCATTAATTAATTAAGTTGTGACCTTTAAGTAGTTAAAGAATTCTACCTTTCTGTAAAGGCTTTTGTTCATGTTAGAAAAATGTTCTAAGCCAATTATTAAGATTTTAGTGTCCTGATATTAATTGTAAGAAGTCATTTTAGCCTGCTTTTTTGTATACTGCATCTAAAAAACATGGTTTTTTTTTATTTCCTAGTTTTGTGCAGTACATAGCCCTGATCTATACATAGAGAAAAGTTACACTTTATAGAATGTTGAAGTTAGTTCATGTTTAAATAACATAATAACATGAGAGGGTTTATTAAGGAAGAGAAATGAAAAAAAAAACTAACTTTATAATGAAACAGGAGTTTTTAGGCAAATCTTGATAAGAGTATCTTTTCATCATTACTCTCATGTGCCAAAAAAATGAGAGATGGGCTTTTATTGAATGGTGTCTGGTACTTAAGGAAGATTTGCTATCTTTTGAGAATCTTGTTATATAGTAGTCAATTTTATGAAGCTTAAATTTCTACGTTGCTCGTATACTAACAGTTGATGTTTATTGTGCTGAGAAACACTTTAGAAACTAAGATTGCATAAGAACTTTAGAGAGGAAATGCAGAACTATTGAGAACTGTCATATTTTCCCAAAGGAATCTTATAAGAAAAGTACTGCCAGTATCTCCTTCACTTGTTGTATATAAGATAAAACCTTTCAGTATAATTATGAAAGCCTTTTGGTATCAAGTTGAATTGTCTCTATTACAAAGTCATGTGAGAATTGGAAGACATGTTTCTTGTTTTCTTACCTATTTTCTTTCTTCCTATCTTTATTCTATGACAATAATTTCTTTGCAATTCCAATATTCAACATACATAAGTTAAACTTGGTTTCTATTTGATCTTAAACCCAAGAGAAACAGGTGAATGATTGACAGGTGAGGAAAGAGGGGTCAAGTATTGTTATCTAAAAATACTATCATATACATCAATCAGCACAACTGAGCACCTCCAAGTGTCCTTTCTGTCTCAGAGATCTTCATAAAGAGTTTTAATCTGTATGTGGAATAACTTCTGGCTTCCATCCCAGGTACCACATGATATTACTTGATCTACCCTAGATCCAAGTGTTTCTGTCACTCACCTGACTCCACGACAGAGCCACAAGCTCTGCAATAACAAATGAGCAAGCAGGCTTATAAAGCTTCAATTCAGGCTTTCCCAGGAGGCCCACAGCTAATTCCCATGATATAGCCTGTGAGCACATTAACAACTATTAATGAGTGTGGGTCCTTGTGAACTCTCCAGAATAATACTAAGAACTTACAACTTGTTGTAGTTCAGTTTTCTTTTCTTCTATTCTCAGTCTAAAGCCATGGTAACCCTAAGCAAGTCACTCTATGGGCCTAACTATGTTGGTTTTAGCATTATCTTACTTAATATTAATAACTCCAGACAGACAAATCACCTACACTCTCCATACAAAGTATTCTCTTTTTTTTTGTTCCAGAAAAACAAACAAACACACAAAACAAAACAAAACAAAACAAAAACTTAAGGTATATGCATTTAGGGCTAGAGTAGAATATCTTTAGCACTGTGTTCATGCTTAAAGATATTAGTAAAAGGTGTCTAGTCTAAATTTATTCTATAGAGAACATAACATTTCATTAGTCTTCTTTTTTCTTCCCTTTACATTTTCAAACTGTGCTCTTCTCATTTTCTAGGGAATTATTTTAAAGGATAAAGGAAATCAAACTGATTCAAAAAGAAGTATAAGAAATGAGCCTGGAGTGTTTCTGTGAAGTCAAGAAAAGGAAACTATACAATTAACAAATGCTGCAGCAGGTGTAGGCTACTGTGCCACTGAGAGAGAGGCCACATTCGGAATACGACCCAGGTGAACTGAGAGTGTGTACAAGAATTCATTGGCCTTCTAGAAGGAGTCATAGGATGCAATGTGAAAATGTACTCATGGATAAGACTTAACACACAAAGAATATGATGCATTATCAGAAGCAAGAAAAAAAAAAAAAACATAGACAAAGCATAGCCCGGTTCAGGCATTTATTTCTTCTCTCTTCCATTAGTCACTGGAGTGGCAAACCCCAGAGAAACATGAAAGACAGTTTTGTCTGTACAGTATATTTGTTTTTGGAGCCCAGAGTTCTTACAGGAGCTAGGCACAAAGGCACACAATCTTTTACATGATCAGCAT